AACTAATTCTGATCGGTGCATCTTGAGATATACGATGTCAAACTTAGTGTTCGGAAACTTTTGGGTACCCTCTGTAATAGAATAACACTTTATTTATGGTCGTGCGTTTTTTTTTTCATAATGATTAGTGAAATTTGAATGCTTTCCTTTTAAATATTCGAATTAGTCTTTATATTCCAATTTCATTTCATATTATGTTTATCACTACTAATTTTGAGTCATTCATAATATGAATTCCTTTCAAAGATTTTCAAGTTCCTAATTACATTGAAATTAGAAAATAAAAATAATATGGAACAAAAAAAAAAAATTAAAAAGTATAAATAAAAAAAAAAATCGAATTTTTCGACAGAAACATTCTCGTAATACCTGTCGAGAACAGGTTACTCATAAATTTTTATATTTATAATAAAACATAAATATAAATAAGATGATGATCTTAAAAAAATCTTCGCATTTGTTTTTCATTCTTTTTTCGTTTCTTAGCATTTTGAATTATAATGCGTTCGGCTCGAAAGTTGATGATATTACGACTGACCCGAAAGTTCTCGATGAAATCGCGTATGTTAATATCAACGACGTGAAAATTTTATTTGTCGAAAATGATTTTTTATTTATTTGAATTTTTAAATACATTTATTTAGTCAACGATTCGCACCTGTAGTGTACTTGCACCCCAGTGAACCGTTAGTATATTTATTTATTTATTTTTTTTTTTTTAATAAAATTCCTATTCTTTTTTTTCCAAGCTGAATATAATTAAATATTTTTTTTTATCTTATCGCAGATATTATCCAAGTGACGTAGAATTTTTACTTGAAAATTCCATAATGGCATTTGGTAAAGAAAATTCAGATGATGGAGTTTATTATATTGACCCAGGTAGCGGAAAAAACACAAGTGCACCATCACAACTTTCTCAATCAAGTCTCCAAAATTTCGCAATCAACATTTCCGGCACAACATATCGAAGTAATTCTCCGACACATCCTGGTGATGATGATACAATATTTCGATTAGTTGGTAATGAAACGATTCAAGAAGATCGATCAAAGACATGGTATATTCCACCAAATAAACCACCACCGGCTTATTATAGAATTCACACGGGACAAGCTGATAAGAAGATTTATGACATCGAATATTGGTTATTTTATCCTTATAATGGTCCAACTTTTCATGGTTTAACCCCTCATGAAGGAGATTGGGAACAAGCCACCTTACGAGTTTATGTTGATGAAAATGCAAAGGCCGATGAACCGAAATCACAGGTGTTGGGAGTTTGGATGTCGACTCATTCTGATGGAGGTTGGTGGGCCTCTTCAATTTATCAATCTAGTGGTTCAAATATTGGTCCATTAGATTTCGAAGAAGAACATCCCATCGTTTATAGTGCGATTAATTCTCATGCAAATTATGGAACTATTGGAACACATAAATATTCGGGATTTCTTGAAGATCATACCGATAAAGGACAAAGGTGGCCTATCGCGGATAACTTGATAAAAATTTTAGAAGATACCGATAGGCAGTTTGATGTTGAGAAAACCGAAGTGTTAAATAATCAATTATGGGTCAAATTTAGGGGTAAATGGGGAAGGTACGTTAATTATGTAGTGGACATTGGATCAGGTCCCATCACTCCAATTGAAGCTGGAAATATTAATGATCCTGCTCAATGGAAATCTCAAAAGTTCCCATTTAATCCCATTCCAAAATAAAAATATGCCCATAATGAAAATTTACCTTTTTCATTTTTTCAGATAATTTTAATAAATCACATTATGAATGGTCATGCATGCTGATCAGTATAAATTTTCTCTTTACCAATAAGTGAATAATATATTATAGTGAAATCGCAATTTTTTTTTTTTTTGACAACTATATCAATTATAATTAAATATGCTAACTTCGGTAGCAAATACCTACGATGCTATTATGCCACACCGCAGCATATGTAGCAAAAATTAAATTAAGAAAAATTGACATATGCTACTTATTCTGCATTTGCGGATAAAGGAGCTATTGATTATAAGCTACGGTCCAGTATTAATTTGAAACTTACCTTTTTCCCGCATCATAAACAATTATTTGCCTAAATATCAATCCATTAATAGAATGATAATGATCGATCGAGTCATGAGACATTTTAATCATATGATCTGTGGTTTTAATTTGTACAATTTGTAAAATGTTACACTAAACCTAAAACCTTTAATTTGCCATTAAAATTTTTTTTAATCTACCAAATTGAACCGATTTAAAAATTGGTTTGTTATTTCTTTCCTTTAGCGTAGAACTTTACAATTGAAAATGAATAGTAATTTTATTAAAAAGGAGGTTAAAGATTTTTTTGGCGTAAAAAAAGATCGGCGAGATTTTGACGAAACAAGCATCATTCTCAGGATGGAATTTCAATAATGCATCTAAAAAGGTAAAGCTTCGGACTTCTATTTAAAAATGGAAAGACTGAAATAAATATTTTGCAGAAAAAAGATTGAATACATAAAATATTAATTAATGTATTGTTCTATATATAACGTTCTTTACAAGTGCGCTATATTTTTTAAAAAAAATATGCCAATAATAATTGTACATGTTGTGCTTAGTTCTAAAACAGTATTTTAGCAAATTCAAGAACAGAAATGGAAAATGTTGAGCAAAATGAATTCAATATTAATGATGAGAATAATGAATATGATGATATAGGAGAAACTTTTAAAAAAGAAAGTTGAAACAGAAGTTTCTTATTATTCAAGTGGTTCATTGTGGAAAAGTACGGTAGAGTTAATGTAAATGAAGGATTTATTATTATTATTGTGGTGAGACATATATGACAGTTACAGACAAAAAAAAGCGTGCTAAGAATACCCAAGTTTCAAATAACAAAAAAAATCACGAAAATAGTATGTTAAATTTTTTATATTACGATTTTCATCATATAAAGTCACGTGAAAACTTTACTAAAAAAAAATCGTAAAAATTGAGGCGTCAGGTCACGAGAATCTAAAAAATTTTTTGCCCGCCCGAATCCAACTTTTTTAAATTATAATTAAAAATTGGACATATCAAAAAAAGTTTAAACTAATTAGGGATAGGACTTGGGAGTTAGATATAATCTCAAAGATTTATTGAATTTCAATTTGTTACACCAACATATTTACTTTTTTGTAGATATCGTTTTATCAGCGAATTCATTGGATATGTAATTCCGATTTATAATTTTTTTCTCTATGTCGCCACATCAACTTTATTGGAATTGAATTGCAAAAGTTTAGACTATACTATTTATACCTCATTTAATATTCCTTGTGCTTTCATTTAAAATTTGAAATAAATAGAAAGGTCATCAGCATTCTTTAATTGGTCGGTTGATTTTAAAAATAAAAATGAATTGCGTAAACGTTGATCAAACTTGTTTGTCGGAAAATTTTTGATTTGTTTGAAAATTGGTTATGGTCCGGGAATACGATGCGAGTTCTTTGTTTTGCATATTTCATATGTATGTTTCTTTCAGCCTTATTGTTCTCATACGTCCCTTTTTTTCATTATATCAAAGATTTTGTTATAAAAGGTTAATACGTGTTATTATAATATTCTACAAGTTCATTCCATATTTATAGGGTCACGGTAAAGAAGAAAAAAGGAAAATAAAATATTTTAAGTGACTGTATTTTCTTACATTTAGAAATTATTATTTTTAGACATAGTTCTCATACAAAGAATGTTCTTTTTTATGACTCTTCGGTCGGATGATAACGTAGTTAGTTGCTAACGGAATAAATATGTTGACCATTATAAATAGGTAGGGTAGCAAGTGTGTGCATACAGCAAAGAATTCAAAAAAAATCTCCTATTACCCCCCAAAAAATAAATCAATAAATCAATAAATCGTTCAATAATATAATCACTCAATAAAACAACCAATATGCCTAGAGATTCTCATTCCTCCCCTATCAAGCCGCCCACCCTTCCCTTTCCTCCCGTCTTAACTATAGATGAACTCCTTGCAAATGCTGTCAAGTCTAAGAAACCTAAAGTGATTATCCCAAACTCTTTCATCATTTACAGAATGTCATTGCATAGAGAGTATCGTAACAAGCAAATGAAGTTACCATCAATGAAGAAACTTTCAAAGATTGCTAAATCTTCTTGGAATAAAGAATCACAAATTGTAAAGAATGAATACATCAAGCTAGCCAAAGATGCCAAAACTTTGTACGACGAGAGGAAGAAGGTTGGAGCGAGTCATGTCGATCATTATGAAGTAACCTTGGAAGCACCCAACGATTCTTCCGAATGAAAGATCCGAATTTGGAATGAATTCAATATTTAGTGATTTTCTTAAATTTTTTTTATTCACTTGTCAATATTCGTTAAATTTTCTTTTTTTTTTAGTCTGTTTGTTTAAAATAAAATATTCCTAAGATAACCGAAACCCGTTTAATTTTAACTCATCATAAACTATCCTTTATGAATAAATTTTTGTGCAAGCATAAAGTTAGCTTTTAAGTTAATATGTTATCTTCTTTTTTCTTCAAGTACAAATATCAATATGCTTGTGAGTATTCAATAAGATCAAGCAGGGTAGAGAATGATTAATAAATATAATAAATATTTACCTATGAATTAAATAAACTACATGGTTCCTATTATTAAAAAAAATAAAGTAAAAATAAAAATAAACATTTTATGGGTGGGAAATGAATTTTCTAATATTAAATTTCAGTGGAACTAAATTAACGAAAATGATCTAATTGCCTATAAATGTTGACATTTTTTTATATTTTTTATAAGGAAGTTTAAATCCAATGACAAACAATTTTTTTTAATTTCAAAAATAAAATTTATTAAACAATTCTAATTTTCTGATGTCCTAAAGATTTATGTCAGTCGGATAGGTATATATAGTATGAGGATATATAACACATCACATCCATGTTCCCATACCATAAGAATTTTAAATTTTTTTTTTTCGTTTTTTAAATGAAAACCGAATGTACTACATATAGTGTTAATTTCGATAATTTTCATTTAGATTTACATGGTTAATTTTGATTCTGTATTGGGGGGGCTTTGGGGCAGATTTCAAACACAGTCCAAAAATGTGCAGTTGGGCACAAAAAATAAACGTGACCAAAGACCATTTGTCAGCTGATTAAAATTGAAAAATTATTGCGCTTTGTTAAAAATTTTTGTGTCAATTAGTCACATCACATATTTGTAAATTCTTTCTTCAATATAACTTTGATTCTAACAATAACCATTGAAATTTTTAAAAAAATATTTGATATAATTAAAATTTTCACTTTTAATATGCATTTTCATATTATTTTATTTTAATTTGTACACGTTATTAAAAATAAATATAGTTGAACTACAAGTTGAAACCTAACAAACCTAACAGATAAAATTTAAAATATAAAAAAGAATTAGCATTAGCCATTAAGCTTATTAAGACTGATAAATCATTATATTTATGTATCTTTGTATAATATAAATTGGAATTGGATGACAAAAGTCCAATGAATCGAAACAGAATAGTAAGCTCACTTTCTGCGCCAATCAATTTTCGTAATCAATGGTCTAATAATGATACAATAATGAAATGATGTAATGATGGCATAATGAATTTGATGGTAAAAACCACCACCTCACAAACTCTTTCCTGCAAATTTATAAATTGCAATTACCCATTTACGATTTTTCTTACCACTGTGACGGTTAAAAATTCTACTTAGAGAATTTTTAAGAATTTCTATGTTAATTCTATTTTCTTGCAGATCAAATTGTAGATCTAGA